AACAAATTTTTGAAACGTGACTCCTTAAGCACATGTGACAATATTTGATAAAGAAACCTTTTCGCTACCTTGAAGAAAAATGAACATGAAAGATCTCACGATCATAAAATTAAACATCATGTTAACATATCAACAAAGAAGTCATTCTATCTTCAAAACATGCAATTGAAAACCTATCTGAAATATTATATATTCTCAATGTACGGGAATATTTTATAGATATGACATCTCTACATTTATTAGACCTAGGGATTAATGAACTAGGTCAATTTTCGGATGGACAATTATTTAGAACAATAAGATATCAAAATATGTATTGGGTCCGCGAAATTAAATAAGTTCTTCAAGGGGTCCGCGAAGTAAAAATCGGTGGGAACCGCTGGACTAGACTATAGACTAGACTATAGACTAGACTATAGACTAGACTATAGACTAGACTATAGACTAGACTATAGACTAGACTAAAGACTAGACTACAGACTAGACTATAGACTAGACTATAGACTAGACTATAGACTAGACTATAGACTAGACTATAGACTAGACTATAGACTAGACTATAGACTAGACTATAGACTAGACTATAGACTAGACTATAGACTAGACTATAGACTAGACTATAGACTACTAGACTATATAGACTAGACTATAGACTAGACTATAGGACTAGACTATAGACTAGACTATAGACTAGACTATAGACTAGACTATAGACTAGACTATAGACTAGACTATAGACTAGACTATAGACTAGACTATAGACTAGACTATAGACTAGACTATAGACTAACTATACTAGACTATAGACTAGACTATAGACTAGACTATAGATAGACTATAGACTAGACTATAGACTAGACTATAGACTAGACTATAGACTAGACTAAGACTAGACTATAGACTAGACTATAGACTAGACTATAGACCTAGACTATAGACTAGACTATAGACTAGACTATAGACTAGACTATAGACTAGACTATAGACTAGACTATAGACTAGACTATAGACTAGACTATAGCTAGACTATAGACTAGACTATAGACTAGACTATAGACTAGACTATAGACTAGACTATAGACTAGACTATAGACTAACTATAGACTAGACTAGATAGACTATAGACTAGACTATAGACTAGACTATAGACTAGACTATAGACTAGACTATAGACTAGACTATAGACTAGACTATAGACTAGACTATAGACTAGACTATAGACTAGACTATAGACTAGACTATAGACTAGACTATAGACTAGACTATAGACTAGACTATAGACTAGACTATAGACTAGACTATAGACTAGACTATAGACTAGACTATAGACTAGACTATAGACTAGACTATAGACTAGACTATAGACTAGACTATAGACTAGACTATAGACTAGACTATAGACTAGACTATAGACTAGACTAGACTAGACTATAGACTAGACTATAGACTAGACTAGACTAGACTATAGACTAGACTATAGACTAGACTATAGACTAGACTATAGACTAGACTATAGACTAGACTATAGACTAGACTATAGACTAGACTATAGACTAGACTATAGACTAGACTATAGACTAGACTATAGACTAGACTATAGACTAGACTATAGACTAGACTAAGACTAGACTATAGACTAGACTATAGACTAGACTATAGACTAGACTATAGACTAGACTATAGACTAGACTATAGACTAGACTATAGACTAGACTATAGACTAGACTATAGACTAGACTATAGACTAGACTATAGACTAGACTAGACTATAGACTAGACTATAGACTAGACTTTAGACTAGACTTTAGACTAGACTATAGACTAGACTATAGACTAGACTATAGACTAGACTATAGACTAGACTATAGACTAGACTAGACTACAGACTAGACTATAGACTAGACTAGACTACAGACTAGACTATAGACTAGACTACAGACTAGACTATAGACTAGACTATAGACTAGACTATAGACTAAACTATAGACTAGACTATATACTAGACTATAGACTAAACTATAGACTAGACTATATACTAGACTATAGACTAGACTATAGACTATATTTTCCTTATACATAATTGATTAAAAATTTTGCACTAAAATGTAATTTTTGTCAACTCTAGTGTTGCACTTTTAAAAAAATTACTGTAATTTTACAATAAAAAATCACAATTAAATTTAATTTATAATTAAAAATAATATGTATTTAGCCACACTGGAAATAAAAAACTTTATTTCCTGAAAGAAATACGTATAATTATGATTTAAAAATTCTATTTTTTTTTTTCTAAAAAAATATTCTTAAGATTTTCACACTAGATAAATGTCAATGTTTTTTGTAAAAAGCTTAAATAATTGCAAAACTATTTATGATCTTAACACAAAAATAAAATTGTTTTATACTTACCACTTCTTTCTTTATAGGCCTCCATAGAAGTACGCGAAGCTGGCAAACGTGCTGTCACACAAATACAAACCTCAAATCCCAATTTTTATCA